GAGTATAACATTATAACATGATATAAAACTCAAAAAAGTTGATCTTACATGATAATGCCCCTTTAAATTTGATGTATTTTAGTCATTTTATTCTGCTTCCTGTGTTATTGCCTGTTGTTTCCTCAGTTCCATCACTCTGAGCATCAAAAGTAAAGCTGACCTGGATAACCACATCTTAATGGAGTCATATCCCCCCAACCACCACCACCTTCACTCACGTGGGTCACTTTGGACCTGTGAGCTGGCAGTTGATTACTGATCTAGTATGATGCAACTGGCAGACATTTTTTGTGCTAAATTTGAAATGAAAACTCCACGCAAAATCTGGGTGAAAAAAGTGATTCAGTGGTTTAAACTTCATCGGGATGGTTAACTGTTAACTTTTGTTCTGGTTCTGTTTTTTAATTCTTTGTTCTATTTTTAGCTTCTTTTTGTTTCTTTTTTTCTTTCTAAATTTAGTTTTTTTTCTGTCTTTTAGCTATCTTTCTGATGTATTCAGTTATTCCAATTTTATTTTTGTGCTTCTATCAGCTTATTTCTGTAAATTTAATCTTCTTTCAGCTGTTTACTACTATTTAAGTTTCTTTTTAGCAATTTTAAACTTTTTTCAGCTAAATTCACCTGTTTGTGATCATTTTAACTACATCTTTTAGCTGCGCAGAAAACGTTAGCTCTTTCTGCTTCTTTGTGCTTGAGTCAGCTTTTTCAGCTACTTTGTAGCTACTTTTCTGCTAATTAACACTTTTTGGCTGTTTCACAACAACTATCTAAATCTTTGCAATTTTTTTCTTTTTTGCAAAAGTCTTAGCATCAAGCAAATTCTCTAGTTAAGAGTTGTGCTGCACAGAGTTGTAAAGTAACTAAGTACAAATACTTTGTTATTATACTTAAGTAGAATTTTTGGGTAACTGTACTTTACTTGAGTTATTATTTTTCAGCCTACGTTTTACTTCTACTTCTTACATTTTCACATAGTTAGCTGTACTTTTTACTCCTTGCATTTTTAAAACAGACAAGAAGTAGAAAGTCGTTACTTTTATTTCCTTTTTGCTTGTTTTCATTCCAGCTTGTTATTGTAAAAAATAAATACTAGCCATATAAACTGTGCCTCCTAGATAGAGTGAATTTAATTGTGGTTGAATGAGAAGTATGTATATGTAAAGTTCTGATACTGTATTAGTTTGTACACAAACAAATCATKCAAAGGTGAAAAGGAGAAAAGGTTTGGGCAGCCTTGATAAATGTATATAAACTTTACACAGCTAGACTAGTGCATCCTAAATTTATAAATTAAACATTGTTTTGATATGATATAGTCATTTCTGCATTTTTTTTTTTTTTTTTTTTTGGG